ACTGAACCCAATAACAATAGGGCTGAAAGAACCAAGATGGATGGTGGGCTTCTCAACATTTTTCTTCTCACCTTCCACAAGGAGAGAGCTGTAGCTGGTCAGGACTGTACCTTTTCCTGGGTAATGTCGAAATCTCCATATCCAGGCATCCAAGTAAAAATCATAGCCCATTGCTGTGCAGCTCCCCCATTACTGCCCCAGTCACTGTACTCCTAACATCCCCAAATTTCTACCCCATTTTTTGCAATGTATTCTCTGTTTAGTCTTACATAAGCACCAGTGGAATCTGCACAGCCTCCTCCGTTGAGTGGGTAGTCCCACTAAACATAACTCCCTATTGATGAAGAAGCCACAGATCACTCAGAGAATATACTGGCAAGGCTGCTTCCTGCACCCTCCAGCAGCTTAGATAGTGACATTTCATTGGATAGTTTAGCTAGATTAGAGGCTGGAGCGTAGGCTTGTGAACACATCAACACCACGCCCCCACAGGCAGTCGAGAAAGAAACTTGCCTGGTCTCCTGCAGTCCTCCATCTATTCAACCCCAGGTAGGAGATGACCCCATGGTGTCAGCAATTAACAACTCCATAGAAATACACCAAGCAGTCACAAAAGAAGCAGGCAGGTTGGTTGGTACTGGGCAAACTGACTTGAAGATTGGGGGATTCCACCAGTGTTGTTTGTATTATCCTTTATATGTTATATGAGCTTCCGACTGCCTGCATATACAAGTTGGCAGCTGGCATTGGAGAGCCAGATCCAGCACCCTCAAAGTCTGCTGGATATATGCACGGACCCACATGCCATTGCTCTAGCCATTGGTAATCAGCACAATGGGAGTACAAGTCAAGGAGAGTGAACCTAACTCTGGGCAGGACACCGTGAGCATGTTGCCTCCCTCCAGCTACAAATGCCTGCAGGGTTGCTTGATCAATACTTCAAGGCCAACAGACTCCACTGCACAGCAGATTTCCTCCATCCCATTTGCAAAGCCTTGGACTGCACCGGGATATAGTGGAATTCTCAGGGAATCTAGGGCAAAACATTGTTATAAATACATTGTCACATTTGTAAATATATGTCCACTTTTCATGATTGGCTGTGTGAGAGAATATCATTCTAGCTGCAACTACAGGAACGAACAGGTTAGCTATCCTTAGCAGTACACAATATTTTATTGTCCAAGGTGTGAAGCGTGCAGTTGCTGCACTACGTGCTGCCTATAGGACTGTTACTATGGAAACTGTATCACAACTATTAGTGGGCTTGATTTGTGATATCAGATGATGTGGTCAGGAAAGCTTGGAGCCAGGATTTGTACTTCACACAGTAGGTCAATGCAAGGTTCACATTCAGCATTTTGTAAACAGAGATGTCTTCAGCTGTACTTTTTGTCTAACTGTTTATGATACTGTCCTTTGAAGGACCTCACATTGCACAGAGTGGAGCTCCATCCCTCAAAGAATAAAACATCCAGCACACTTATTTTGGTCTTGGATGACAATGGAAGGAAATAGTAATCGAGCCTCAATGAGTGAATCATTCGCTTCTCAGTCTGTGTGAACCCTCCCAACCCCCAATCTTCATATGCCCTTCTTGGTAGCCTCTGACAAAAACCCATTGGCTTTGGTCTTCCCCACGTTCTCACCCTACCTGTTTATTTAACTCTCCATCTCCACACTTTACCTCCTGAGCCCCAGGCATATCACATGCAAACATAGTCGTACACTGTCCGTTCATCAAAGCCAGAATGGTGGTTACTGTTGATGGACCACCCCTTCCGAATTCCCCCTTTCCCTCCATGCTGTATTGTCTCTCTCCTCCTATATTGCCCCTATTCACAACTGTTATTGCCTTTACATCCCAACATGCTGCCTCCAATCCCCACTATTGAGTTCCCAGCTTCCTTTCCACAGCAGTAAGCCCTGATAATTTCCCCTCCTTGATCTTTAATGGGTTGGCACCCAGAATTGATTGTGGGCTCATCCCGTTGATCAAATTGGATGAACAGCCCTGACTGATGATTGACAAGATCCCTGTCTGATCTCAGTGCAGCTTCCTGAATGACTTACCAAGATTCCAGAAACTGATTACACTGCACACAGCTGACTCTTGCCTACTCCATAGACTATAGCAGGGTGTGAATCTCTGACCCTGACTGCCCCAAATGGCTGACTGGATGCCTGTTCCACACAAAGTGGCCTGGCCAGAAGTGCAGCATTGAAGTGCAGAACTATATTGTAATTGGATCAGAGACGTGCCACGAGGGTGCAGTGAGGCGGATGCCAATGTCTGTGGACAGGTGGTTCAGTCCGGCACTGCCCGTGCAGTGTGCCCTCAAATGCTAGTGGCTGCTATACAAGATGGAGTGCTGGAGGAGTAAGCAGCAAATTGGATTCACCGGGTAATTGCTTAATATTTAATGTTGGGAATTGTTGCTGTCTAGTTTTTACTTGATGGCAGTTGAATGGGAAACTGCATAACAATGAGGCGAGATTAGGTAATTGCATGCAAATGGCGCAGTTGGCCTCTAGCAAGATTCTTGTCTCGTTCAACACTTGGTTGAGAATCAGACTTTTTGCTCTCGACCTCAAGAATTTCATTACTGCTGATCTCACACTATTTTCTCAACTTTCTCACCAATGCCAACTTTGTTTAGGAGCTAGGAAGATTCCATTCTATTAGTTAATGTTAAAACTCCAGGAATTCAGGTCAATTGTTGAAAAAGAATTTTTAAAAATCAGCTTAAGGGTAGAAAACAATGAGGGTTTTTCAGAGGAATGATATCAAGATGGAGGTGAAGCTCTGAGTGAGGTACGCTGGGTCTCAATATTATCAATATTTGACAAGTTGTCAAATATTCAGACATATTTTCTGCTTTAGTTCCATTCAGATCTGTACTGTTGTTTTCATTCAACTTTGTACATTCAAATTGTCCATTTTTGATGCAATCATGGTGATATTTTTCAGAATATCAGGCTCGTTTATCCTGCATATATTCCTCATGTTCTTATCCACTGCTGAAGAGAACATGAATTATAACCCAGTGGTGATGATTCCACAAAGATAATCATTTCAATGTTCATTCATCTAAGTACTTGGGTTAGAGAATAGCTGGCAACTGATGTCTTAAGAAACCAGTTAGATTAACATGCAAACATTAGGAACATTGGAGCAGGAGAAGGGAAGTTAGCCCTGTCAAGCCCGTTCCACTATTCAATGAGATCATGGCTGGCCTAAGACCTAACTTCATGTTGGGGCTTTTGCCCCAGATTATTAATTCTTAAAGAACACACTTATATAGCTTTCATCTTGCTTTATATCTCAAACAGGCAGCATTCATTGTATAAAAAGTAGGGATCTTGTTTCCATTTTTTTCCGAAGATTAAATTTAATTAAAAAAAATGTAAGCAACTATGATCTTTTTGGATAGGATAATATTTGGTTACAAAACAGACAGAATTATAGATCGTGCCAAATCTTTTATGATCACGAGATAGATATTGAACTCACAGCATTAGTACCTAAATCAGTTTATCACCGGCTTTCTGACTGAAAGGTAATAGAATATATATTTTTCCAGTTTTCTCCTGAGGAAGTTGTCACATATGGGGCAGTGTGTCACAGGCAGATGTTTGTCCTCCATTGCTTTTTTCCAGCTACCATTCTGTGTTTGGGAGTCTAGAGAGTTGATCATTCACAGCTATATCCAACGTCCAGCATTACACTTCTGAGTCCACTGATCGGGGTTGAAATCCTGCTTGTTTTGCCTTTCCCTTTCCTGAGGGGGTCAGCAATTTGCAGCAGAAACACTGTAACTCTGGCGAGATCAGTAAACACTGCACCAAGTGGGATTTGGCACTCGTTCTAAACCCAGCATGATCTGTGCCATGGTAATTAATAACGTTCAATTTTTCCTTAGCAGTAGCAAGTCTAAGTTAACAGCAGTTTCCTTTTGTATTACTGGTTTGTCTTATTTTCATCTTAAAGAGAAATAAACTGATGCATGATGTTTATCTTCTAAATCTTCTGACAGGTCTGTGCCACATAAACTCTGGTCCATGCAGTTACAAACTTCTTCTGTAACAGTTGCATTTTTGTGTAAACAAACAAATCTAGTTTATGTGATAGCTAGCATCCAGAGGTTATCCAAAACTGTGAAGCTCTTAGATTCAGTGATAAATTGACACAATTGTAAAGAAACAGAGAGAGAGTGCAACTCACTTCTAATTCCTCTCCATATGATTGACTGGTCAAAATGATACATTTATGGGCAGTCACAACTGTCGTACATTGACTAAAGGTGTTTTGAGTAACCATTCAAATCGTAGACCAACCATGCAAAAGGTCGATCAGCACCCTCCCTTACATGGGAAGGAGTCCATATGGAATGGCTTCAGGCAAACTGTGTGTGCTTGAAGTAGTAGTTAAGTAGTAGGTCTGACATTGAAGATGTATGGTTCTTATATGGGTTAAACACGCAACCTTGTTAT